CGTTAGGGATGGGCTTTTGCGCCGGCTACTTCCGCAATGAAGGGAAGCTCAGAGCGAAGAAGACAACCCTTGGCGAATTGTGCTCTTCCTCTTCTTGATTAAGTCTTGGGCCTAAGCAACTGTTGTTGCCTGGCAAAGTGCAGTTTTTTTTTTGCGCTTTTTTGTTTTGGCAAATTTATTTATATTTTGCACCTGTTCGTATTTAGAGTTTGCTTTTGAGCAGCTTGTGCTTAGCTCGTACTTCTTCTGAGACTGAGACACAGACACAGACACACGCACACAGACACAGAGAGCGACAGAGCGCGCTCAAGAGTTTTTATTTTCTCGATCTTTTTTTTTTTTCAATTTTAGATTTGTTTTTGTGTTTGCTGCAGCATTTGCTGGCACAGTTTGCACTTTGTCACAGTTCTGTTTAGGTTCAGTTTCGATTTGTGTCAGCAGTTTTCCTTTATTTTTGAAATTCACTTGAAAAAAAATGCCAACAAATAAACAAATAAAAATAAAAGAGAATGTGTGAAAACAACAACAGCGCTTGTTTGAGGCTGCGACTGCGACGGCGACAGCGACAGCGTCCGTTGATCTTGAGAGCGTGCGCAACACTGCGGCGCGCAAATTTCCCAGGCCGAGCAGCGACTCGGGCAAACAAACAAATTGCCCTGACAAGCGTTGAGAGAGCGCAAAGTACCAAAGTTGTGTATCTGTGCAAGGCACTTGGGGAAATTCTCTACGTTGGTTGTTGTCCAGACTAAACAGTTGAGCTTGTTGCCACAAGCAGTGCATACTTTTGAGCGGGGGTTTTAATTAGGCATATAATTTGTTTTGCGGCTGTATAGTTAAGGAATTTAATGCCTGTTTATATATATGTATATATTTTTAAGTGTTGCATATGCCTCTTATTTTCGATACATTAAACGACAAATTAAACAAGTTAAATAACACTATATAGTACAGCCTAGTTAAGATCCAAACCGAGAGTCATTGACTGTTCCCAATGAAGTTTTCGAATTTTAAGACATTTTGCAAAGACAATTCGAATGGACAGAGCTGAGAGAGCGCGAGCGCATTACCCACTGGGAAATATTCTCCAAGCTCGAATCGAAATGTTCCCCCCACCAGTAAATGAACTTTCTGTGTGGGGCCATGGAGTTGCCAACTTGCCCGGAGTTCGAAAACCAGAAATGTCGCAGCAGCGAGCTGCCAGCCGAGGCTTGCCCGCTGCTTCGAACCGAACAAAATGGCGGCCGTTGAGCGCTGGTTAAGATCAACAAGAAATGAAGTAAGAAGAGAAAAGGTAGAAAACACGTTTACAGACTTAACGAGTTTTGTCGTTTGTTGTTTCTTGTTGTTGTTGTTTCTTGTTGTGCTGTTGTCTGGCTTTCAAAATCAACGTGCAACGCGCGCAGCAGCAGCCCAAAAAGCTAGAAACTCGCGCGAATCGAGAAAACGAACAAAATATTGTTATTGAGGTTGCGTCAAGGGGCCAGCCAACAAACAGACAAACAAACAGTCACAAGGGAGAGCGATAGAGGTGGAGATAGAGGGGGGGTGGGGAAGGGGGGGGGCAAGCGGCGGTTGCTTAGCTGGCTACTTTTGGGCTCCGCAGCGATTGCGGCGCGGTTTGGCATACCCTGCGCACAGAGCGAAAGAGGGTATATTGGTTTTGTGTCAACCTGTACAAGCTTTATCCAAGCGCTCGCGATAGACGAAGTGTTTGTTTGAACTATCTATATAAACTATACTAGCGCGTATTGCCCGGCGTTGCCCGTGGAACGTTTTGTTCTTAACATATTTGATATTACCTTTTCACTAATAACACGCTCGTTTAAATCTTCCCATCTAGATTTCCACTTCTTTTTAAAATTATGTTTCAAGTGCGCCGAATAAAGAATCAGAGCTGGAAGAGAATCTTGGTGAGAATCATGATGAGATTCTTGAAGCTGACGAATAAACTTAAATCTTTGAATTTTCATTTTCCAGCGAGGAAGCTTGGATTCTGCGAAAAGTGTGAAACACGTCTCAAATGGGTTCTCATGTAGATCACTGGAAATGAATTTGAGCGCGAAACGTCGCCCACCAAATCTTTGACGCCCATTTCCACCAAGGAGGGATGGATTTTACGAAAAGTGTGAAACACGCCTCAAATGAGTTTGAGGCCAATCGGATGGTAAGCAAAAAAGTTGCATACAAACGTTTTTCGCAAGTTTTCCACGCTTGCGGGTGGAAATTGCCGAAACGATGGAATGGTTAAGATAGGGTATATAATTGCGTATATATCATTTAGTCGCAGCAATCCTTTTGCAGTTTGAAAGTCCTCGGCTTGGGCTTAGAGTCGCCTCTCTTCGAGCTGTGAGCAGAGTATGTCGCAGTCGGGCTGCGCGTTTTGTGTCTTTTTCTTTCAGTTTTTCTTCTTAATGCGTTCTTTGTTTTTGTATTATTTTGTTGTTGTTTTCATGCCCCATTAGCTGGGGAGCCGAGCTCCTGAGAGCCTGTTCGCGGCTGGCTTCTTTTGGCGCTTGCGCGTTTCTTTATGTGCCACTCGGGGCAGTCAGGCGCGCCGCGTCCTCAAATTGCGCGCCAACTGAAGCCAAGCCAAGCCAAGCCAAGCCAAGCTAAGAACAGCATCCAAGTGCGATGGCAGTTTAATCATTAGCAGCCAGCAGAGCGAAACAAAAGACTGTGGCAACAAACTTGCGCTCCTTCGGGCAGACACGCACACACAAAGTCGCACAGTAGCCAGCAAATCCGCTTGGGCAAATCTCTTCTCTTTTCTGCTTCTTCTGCTTCTCTCGACTCCGACTCCGACTCCAACTGACTTGACCCTGGCATTTGGCGGCGCAGACTTGCCCGCAGCTCGGAGCTGAAGATGCTTCACATAATAAGCAACAGAGATCCAAGGTTTTATTGAACGACAGATCAAGCTGAAGCTACAGTGAAAGCTCTTTACGGCGGACAAGCGCTTAGAGCTGATGATTCGAACGATGTCCAGCCGAGTGAGAAGGGCGGGGCAGGGTGGGGCAGACATCCAAGCGAGCTGGCAGGCGAGGCTTAGACGAGCCGCAGTTGGGCTAAGTCCACGGCACCAACGATTCCGATTGGAAAAAGGCTACAAGGCTACAAAGATGACATGGCCAGAAACAATAGGGACTCCTAAAATCTTGGCTCAAGTAAGATTCTTAGCAGGATATCTCAGGCGCCTTGGTACACAAGGAACATCGAGGGAGACCCAAGACCCAAGGAGACCCAATCCATCGTAGCCCACTCGCAAGGCGCCTTGCTGCTACTGGCAGAACGAGAATTGGATGGCTCGTTTCTGGCGTTTGTCTCTCCAGGGCAAGAAAGGGAAGACTTAAACGGCGCCAGCCACAGGATCTAGCTGACGGGATTCTCCAGCACAAAACTCATCGATATAAGAACTAAAAACTTGTCGCTTTATAGCCACAACCTTAGACTAATTGGCAGCAAGTCTTGTTAAGCAGCCAAAATTAGATGAAAGTTAACTTCTTAGTAATAAAATAAAAAAGTATAAAATATATAAATAAAACGGATGCAGAGATTCCTAAGGGGCCACGCCCCCGACAAGAAGGGGCAATAAGGCATTCAGTTTTCTATATGGAATTGTCATAGAGATGAGAATTAAATAGCCGCATTTAGCTCTTAGCTTTACCTCCGTCAATTCAGCTTGATTCCAGCTAAACTTCCAGCTAGCTATTTTCAGAGCTCGCCAGCTGAAAACAGTTGAAATTCGAGCTGCGATTCAGGCTAAGTTCAAACTTATTTAGCTATTTAGAGATAAGAGCAAGCTAGTCGCAGTTAGCTTTTAGCTTTACCTCCGTCAATTCAGCTAAATTCTAGCTAGCTATTTCCAGAGCTCGCCAACTGAAAACAGTTGAAATTCGAGCCGCGATTCAGGCTAAGTTCAAACTTATTTAGCTATTTCAAGCCAAAAATAAAATTTCCATAGAGATGCGATGAGAGCGAGATAGCGGCATTTAGCTCTTAGCTTTACCTCCGTCAATTCAGCTAAATTTCTAGCTAAATTCCAGCTTGATTCTAGCTTAATTTCTAGCTAGTTATTTTCAGAGCTCGCCAGCTGAAAACAGTTGAAATTCGTGCTGCGATTCAGGCTAACTTTAGACTTATTTAGCTATTTAAAATAAGAGCAAGCTAGTCGCAGTTAGCTCTTAGCTTTACCTCCGTCAATTCAGCTTGATTCTAGCTTAATTTCTAGCTAGTTATTTTCAGAGCTCGCCAGCTGAAAACAGTTGAAATTCGAGCTGCGAGACAGGCTGGCCTTCAAACAAATTTAGCTATTTTAAGCTCTGCCAGTTTGGTGTTTAGCCATTTTCAGCTATGGATTTGGCGCTGTCCGTTGTTAAAGCATTCACTGTACTCGCCGGAATGTCGCCTTTTTGTGCATAGAGCATTTCATATTCTAGGAAATGGCCGTCGGAGTGCTTCCTGCGCCGCCCACATCCCGATGCGAGTCTGTGCTTAATATTGATATCGACCTATACTTAACTCTGCCCAAACACATGTGTGTGCAAATCGATAAATGTGTCTACGTGTGTGTGCGAGTGTGTGTGTGTGCGAGTGAGTGTGTGTGTGTGCAAGAATGTTGCAATCGCGGCTGCCAATTCGACTTGTTGTCAATTATCATAATTTTGCTCGCAGTTGCTGTTGTTGTTGCTTTTGTGTCGTGCAGCACTGGCAACAATTTGTTGCAATTACATTGGCATTCTTCAAGCTGCACACACACACACACACACACACACACACACACAGAGTCAGCTGCTTAGCTAATTAAATTGAAATTCGTTTTCGCAACCGAATTGCACTTGTCGCCCGCCGCTCGTTGATTTAGCCACAGCCACGCCCACTCCGCCCAGCTCAGCCACACAATTTCATTTCATACTTATTTCGTTCGCCTCAGCTTGCACCACATAATTTGCAATTTTGCATGCCGCTGCCCAAAATGCATCCAACATCCAGCTTAGCCCATAATGAGCTGTGGCTGCCACCGCCACCAAATGGGCGCAGCAACTGCCACGCCCACCGCCCATAGCCAAGCGCAGTGTATGCGCTTTTCAGCCAGATTTGGCCACCTGCCGAAGCCACAAGGTAATTGTCAAATTTCTCTCGGGGCGCAGCACTTGAACAGCAAAGTTCCACCAAAACCCAAACAATTTTGGTAAAGAGAGTGCCCGACTGGGAGATACCCTGCCGCCAAGTCCGAGCTGCCGTTACAATTATTTACGCTTTTTGCGCTGCATACATACAGGATAACATACACACACATGCACATACACGCATGTTACACAAGCATTTCACACACACACATGCACACACACGCATGTCGCACACACATGCACAGACACGCATGCACACTCACGCATGCCACACAAGCATTTCACACACACACATGCACACACACGCATGTCGCACACACATGCACAGACACGCATGTCACCCACGCATATCACACACCCATTTCACATACGCATGTCGCATACGCATGTCAATCACGCATGTCACACACAAGCATGCACACACACGCATGTCACACATACATGCGTACACACGCATGTCACCCACGCATGTCACACACACGCATGTCACAAGCGGCTGTGCTTCTTTTTCCCTTAGCCCCACACTTTATATGGAATACGATATTTGCCTTGGTTCGGAAATTTACAGTCCGATCCTTATGAACTTTACAGGGCATTAATATGGCATACAAAATGTATATGGCATGCTTAAAGGTGCTCAGCGAGGTTCTCACTTCCTCAAACGAGTACTTTGTTGAGCTTTTGCATTTTGGGAAAGTTCAGAGTTGGAGCTGGGCAAACGTTTAAGCTTGATTTGTGTTGAGAATTTGTAATTCTTCGATTCGAATTTCTTTTTGGGATATGCCGAATGTTCGGTAAAATAACACATTAATTAAATAAAATATGATGCCAAATCTGCTGCTGATTGCGATTCGCGCAGCTGCACAAATTAAGCAGCTTTCGGCTGAGCTGCGAGGCTGAGGTCCGGTCCAACGGTGGCAGCTCAGCTCAGAACTTGCCACACGGACAATTTATGCGCACAAATTAACAGCAGCCAGCTGAAGAAGAAGGAGAAGTAGCAGACGAAGAAGCAGTAGAATATATGGTCTCCAGTCTCCAGTCTCCAGTCTCCAGTCTGCAGTCTTCGGGCAATCAAATGACTGCCACATAAATTTATGAGCAGCGTCTGCCAAATCTCTGGCGAGCTGTCACCGACAGATGGCACGGACGGGCGGACGGACGGGCGGGCGGACGGGCGGGCGTTGCGGACAGGCGCGTGCTGCGGCCAGCTGGAGCAAAGAGGGACAGCTGCAGCAGAGAAAGGAGCGCATGCTCAACTGGCCAAGCGGCAGCTGGCGGAGCTGAAGGAGCTGAAGAAAACCAGGAAAAGGAGCGCAAAACTCGTTTCGCACAACCAAGTGTGTGAGTGTGTGTGTGTGTGTGAGTGTTGCATGTTGTCTGGCATGTGTCCTGGCTAAATTTAGCACGAGCCCAGCTCAGCTCTGCTGCAAAAGGGCTTCAACTACCAAAAATAGTCGTTGGACTTTGGACAACAGTTCAGAGCTTTTCTGATGCTTCTTGTTGCTCTTCTTCTTCTTCTTCTTGTTGCTTCTTCTTGCCTCAAAACAAGCAGCCAGAAATGCAGCTGATTTGAAGCCGACTCGACAATCTCTGTCCCCAAAAAAACATATAAAGAAAGTAGTCTGTTTTTTTGTTCTTTGTAGAAACTTCTAAATATTCACGCCTTTGTTAATTTATTCATGAGTCGAAGAAATATTCAAAACGCGTTAAAAGATGGGCGCCCAATTAATGATATGAGGGCGCATGGCTTATTAGGCCCGACTGCGTGATTTTCCCATATTCATCAAATTTGCATTTCTTCAGTTGAAGACATTTTTTACATTACGATAAAGTGGAGAAAATAAATTATGCTTGAAATTTCACTGGAATTCCGAGAAACAACTTTGAATAATCTTATAATAAAAATAAAAAATAAATTATAATAATAAAAAATAAGTAGGAGAGAAACATTCGACTCTATATAGCTATATGTGTTCTTTTCTTCATTTTTGACTGACTCGATACCTTGGAAAGCAGATTCCAAGTTCACAAAATCGATAAATATCGATTTCCAGCACAGGTTTTTTGAGCATATCTCGGAGATTATCGGGGCTAGAGACTTCGAATTTGGCATGTTCATAGTTTCTTCTACAATTGATGCATATTGTATAAAATAAAACAAGAGTGGTGGGAGTGCCCGACCAGGAGATACCCTTTACCCAGTGAGAGCAGGCTTACAATCAATTCAGCTTATTTCTATACGCACACATACATGCACACACACACACACAATCACAAGCACGCTCTCCTCCTTCTATAGTTCTGCTTTCCTTAGCCCTTTACTGCAAGAAGCGTATTCTTGATTAACTTCGGCGCTTGTTGTCCGATCTTTATGGAAATAAATACGGCAGCTTAATATGTTTAAATGCCAAAGCCCCAGATCAAGCCCCAAAAACATGGCGATCTATCTATCTATATCTAAGAGATTTACCAAAATTTGCTGTCTACATCCTGTATAATTCCCAAGCAAGAAAGTATTACGCATCGATTTAAATCGATTTTACAAATAATATGACTTGCTGCATCGTTGCAGAAGTTACTCAACTATGAATTAAAGTCTAAAGTAAAGCGAATTTATTTATATTGCGGCCAGGTTGCAGGGCATTCGCCCGGCGTGCACACCTGTTGTCAAACTTGTCAAACTTGGGCACGCCCAGGAAAGGTTGACAATTTAGCTGCGAAAATTGCGTAATATATGTGGCAAGCCACAATTTTCCATTTCCAATTGAACGCCTTGTTTGGTCTGGCCCTCGAACCGAACTCAAGCTGGAGCTGGAGCTGGAGTTGGAGTCGGAGCTGGTCGGTTGTTGGCTTCGATTGGACTGGATTTGTTTGTTTGTTAGTCGCTTGTTATCTTTGGACTGGTTTGCTTGTTTGTTTGTTTGTTTTGCTCCGCTTTTGGCGCGTGTGCAGCAAACTGTACCAAGATCAACAATATCTGCCTGGCATATTGCACGCGCAGTCAGCCCAGTTAGTTGGCCATTGTTGTTGTTGGAACAAGAACAGAAAAGACGACGACACACGACAACAATTAACAACAACAACAACAACAACAACAACGTCTAGCGGCAACTGTACACAACACTTGCCACATTCTGTCCTCCTGCCTCGCCTGCTCCCTGGCATCGGCTGAGTCGCAGCTCCATAGTTGCCGTTCTTGTCGCGACAAGCTGCATAAATTGCAGTTGTCATTACCAGCAACAACCACAGCAACAACCACAGCAACAACAACAACAACAACAACCACAGCAACGACAACAACAACGGCAATGCTGATGGCAAATTTATGTTTGCCTCGTGCCCAAGTCAAATATGAAAGCAGCAGAAAAACCACTCGAGTGACAGATAAGCTGCATTGACAACGCCAATCGACCAGGCCAGACGCTAGTCCCAGTCCCTGTCTCTATTCCAGTGTTTATTCCAGTCTCTTTCCCAGCGTCTATTCCAGTCCCAGTCTTAGTCTATATTCCAGTCCCTATCCCAGTCTCTATTCCAGTCTCTATACCAGTTTCTATTCCAGTCTCTATTCCAATCTCTATTCCAGTCTCTATTCCAGTCACTTTCCCAACCTTTATTCCAGTCCCAGTCCCAGTCTATATTCCAGTCTCTATTCCAGTTTCTATTCCAGTCTCTATTCCAATCTCTATTCCAGTCTCTATTCCAGTCACTTTCCCAACCTTTATTCCAGTCCCAGTCCCAGTCTATATTCTAGTCTCTATTCCAGTTTCTATTCCAGTCTCTATTCCAATCTCTATTCCAGTCTCTATTCCAGTCACTTTCCCAACCTTTATTCCAGTCCCAGTCCCAGTCTATATTCCAGTCTCTATTTCAGTTTCTATTCCAGTCTCTATTCCAGTCTCTATTCCAGTCTCTATTCCAGTCACTTTCCCAACCTTTATTCCAGTCCCAGTCCCAGTCTATATTCCAGTCTCTATTCCAGTTTCTATTCCAGTCTCTATTCCAATCTCTATTCCAGTCTCTATTCCAGTCACTTTCCCAACCTCTATTCCAGTCCCAGTCCCAGTCTATATTCCAGTCTCTATTCCAGTCTCTATCCCTATTCCAGTCTCTATCCCAGTCTCTATCCTAGTCTCTATCCCAGTCTCTATTCCAGTCTCTATCCCAGTCTCTATTCCAGTCTCTACCCCAGTCTCTATCCCAGTCCCAGTCTCTATCCCTATCCCAGTTTCTATCCCAGTCCCAGTCTATATTCCAGTCTCTACCCCTATTCCAGTCTCTATCCCAGTCTCTATCCCAGTCTCTATCCTAGTCTCTATCCCAGTCTCTATTCCAATCTCTATTCCAGTCTCTACCCCAGTCTCTATTCCAGTCCCAGTCCCTTTCCCACTCCCAATCCCAGTCCCAGTCTAGGGTCAAGCAATTAACAGGTCAGAGCACAGTTGAAAGTGCACACGATTTGTCATATCTGTAATAGGATCTGGCATAGCATCAGATCGGCAGCCAGCAGTGGAAGTGGGGAGCTTCCATTGAAAGAAGGACTATCGAATGACCCGAGTCAATAAAGCGATTATCTACGCATTCCTGTCCACACCCACACACACACAGAAATCCTTGAGAGTTAGGCCATAACAAACAAATAATAAAAACCAAACTCAAAGCCGCTTAACAATTTGTTTTAATCTACCCTCAAGCTGACCTTCGAAACGAACATAGAAAACAAACCCCAGGCAAATTAATGTGTTTCCCACTCCCAAAAAAAAAAAAAAAACTCTGATCCTCCTTTTGGGTTTGGTTTCTCATCTATCATTGCTTTAGACCTGAAATGTTGAGGTTTTCTTCGCGGGTTGCTACCCGAAAATATTTCATTTTAATTAGTATATGCGCTTCTCAGAATACGAACTACCAAAACTTTGTAGAATCTGAACCAATTTTTGTGACGAAATATAACTTTAACACGATTTGTCTGATGTTTCTTAAAATGAGAAAAGAGATTTCATATATTTTATCGATTGTCGATATAGGAATGTAAGTCGCATGGGAAAATATCAATTAATTGATCGATGGATTTCGATATATCCAGCATCGATCGATATTCACATGCATATCCCTTGTAGCCAAATTCCACTGTCAACATTTCTAACATTTTATTTGACTTTTAGCATCAAACCGATCAGCTGTTTATTTAGAGAAGCGGCACTGACACTTGCCAATGAAATCGCAGAATGTGCATTTACCAAATGTAACATATTTTGAGCATAGTGGAATCAGGCTATTAGCTGTTAATTGTAAAGTATGATCATTCGGACTAGGTGATTCCTCGTGGAAACTATCGATAAGCGACATAGTCACAATTAGCTATCGATAATAAGCTATCGATAGCTGATTATTGTGACGAAAATCAATCGAAATCATGGCAAAAGTTGATAAGGCGCCCAAAGTTCCAGCTAATACAACTTTGTTAAAGCCTAACTGATGTTTATGCTATGCTTAGTATCTAAATCTAAGCAGAGTTTTTGCTTTTGTTTTTCTCGAGTAGCTGAGCAAAAAGAAAAAAACAACAAAGAGATCTCGACGATAAGTAGAAGGAGCACAAGCCGCAGCAAATGAGGATCTGTTGTTGTTTTAGCGCTTTTTTACGATGATCTTAAACATGATCGGGCACCGAGCAGATGAGGCAGCATAAATTGAGTGGCTCCTCGTCCAGTCGGACGGTTGCCAGCTAATCGCTTCATTAATTAAATGGAAAGGCAAAGAGAGAGAGAGAGAGAGAAGAAATCAAAGCTCAGCAACCAGAGGCGGTAATTAAAAGATCTTTTTAACAACCAGCTGCAGGTCCGAGTCCCACTTTGTGTGCCAACCAATGACAATTGCTATCCGAATAGAGCTGGCGGCAGCTGGAGGGCCGTCGAGGAGGAACAGATGGGAAGGGGGCGCCACTGTTGGCCAGGCTGCATTTGGGTGCAGCTGCGCAACCGGTTTGGCGCGTGTCTCAGCTCAGCCCGATGCCCGATGCCCGATGCGCGCTCCTCTTTCTCTGGGGTCCGTTTATTTTATTTTCTTGTTTTCTTTTTGCACAAATGAATTAATTAAAGAAGTGGCTTAAATGACAACGACGATGACGGAGGGCCATTAACATTAACGGCAAACGGGCCAATGGACACACATGCGTATGGCGAATGGCGAGTGACAGGCAGACAGCTGCGGTTGGGTTATCTAAAAGTATTCCTTGCCCAGACGACGACGCTCGTCGGGCTTGCGGCCAGCGGCGGCGCCGGGCGCAGCGCCGTCAGCCTCGCCCATCATATTCTCGAGCATGCGCTCCTGCTGGGAATTGAGTGCGGCCAAGTGGATGTCGCGCGTGGCACGAAAATGGCCGCAATTGTACAAATGCTCGTTCTCCAGCCGTATATAATTCCATATGAAGCGACTGCAGAACAGAACAGAACAGAACAGAAGGAAGCCGTAAGCACAAAGAGTACTCAGCTGGGTGATGGGTGGTTGGTGGTGGACAGACTCACCGCGTGATCTCTAGGATGCTGGCGAAGGTCTTGATGTTGTAGGGCGTGATCAGCTTGTGGTAGAGGACCAGGAACTCGACGGCCCAAAAGCAGCGCAGGATTAGATTCTCAATGATGACAAAGTAGTAGAAGGCCTGCGGATAGACCAGCTTCTCGCGCAGAAACAAATGCTCGCCCCGCCAGATCTTAAAGATGCCAAAGTCCTTGCACACGTCCCACAGATAACAGTAGATGGTCGACACAATGTAGCTCAGTATAAAGAACCAGGTGTACGGATTGCTAAACGTATTCGCATAGCCATCTGCAAAAGACTGCCAGAGAGTGAGTGTCGGTGGGCGGAGATGGGGGGGCCAGCAGTTAGTCCGTACCATCCGTGCGTCCGCGCATTGTCGAGAAGAAGACCACAAAGAAGGTTGTCGAGTATTTGCCGGCATTGATCAGGTAGCTGGCCGACTTGGAGCCGCTGTCCCGGAACCGTCTCAGGCACTGGGCAAAGCGAAACCAGGCGGGCAGGCAGCGCGATATGGGCACAAACATATCCTCCTCGAAGCAGAAGTCAACGCTTGCGTAGCGCAGCCAGCAGACGACATAGAAGCGTACAATGTAATAGTAGTCGGCCATGCAGGTCACCAGGGAGTTCATCTGGTCGCCCATCCAGAAATCGGCGAATCCCACGTAGTGCAGCGGCGCGGTTATGACGCGCCCCACCAGCCGCATCGTCCACCAGCGGGCGGGCCAGTTCATGATAGGCAGCGGATTGATCAGCAGCATGATCATGATCAGGGTCAGCGCCAGCGGGAAGACGAACGGATCGTCTACATGGATCAGATCGTGGAACAGAAAGCCCAATATCGATAGCGTCCATAGCAGGCCAAAGGTGCACGCGATCTCCAAAAATGTGGCCGGCTGCAGGTGACTGCGCGGATCGATCTCAAATATGAGCACATGATTGACGCCCGCACGCTGCCAGCCGGCCACATTGGCGGCCATATAAAAGTTAAAGATCACCCACGTGAAGGGTCCACGGTAGAGGCGCATGAATGCCTCAATGTTCCCCTGCAACGGCGGCCTCCGGAAGTCTAAGCGTGAACGGGCACTGCGTTTTAGTTGAGTTTAGTTGCGATTAGGGATGTAAGTCGCACTGCCAAATATCGATGTGTCGATGCATCGATCGATCGATTAATCGATTAATCGATCGATATTCCTTAATTGTGATTCATAATGTATCGATAATCAGAATTGGAGATGGGTATAGGGTCACCAATGGGAAGCCTATCGATAAGAGATATAATCACAATTAGGCATCGATCGATCGATCGATCGTTGGCAACGATAACGAACATCGATCGATATTCCTTGAGTTTGATAGGGATAAAAGATACTATCAATATAAAGCATCAATCATCGATCGATATTCAAGTTCCCTAATCGTGATTATTTAAGTATCGAAAGTCGAAATCAAAGATAGGAATAGATATAGGAGCATAAGCCTAACATCTATCGATAGAGATCGATGAAACACAGCTTGAGCTCCGCATGGAATCGATACTGATATCTATGCGGAATAATCAGGATTGCATTAACTTTCGGTATCGATAAACGATCGAGTCTCGAAATGGTTGACGTGACTATTGAACTATCGAAGTTTGGCACTTATTGATGAAAGATAAAATCACGATTAGGGTGCATCGCCGATACATCTGTGGAGCATCGGGCGATCGATATCGATGCAGTTCGATACATCGATGCGTTTTGTTTACATCCCTAGCTGGAATGTAAGGGACTGGCTAGTTGGAAGACTCACAGCTGAAGAGCGTGGTGAACGCGAGCATGAGGAACATGCCCAGAGCCAGACCGGCACGAAAGACAATCCGCGCCGGCGTCGGCTGGCCCAGGGGCGGTACTCGCAGCTTGGTCATCGCGCGCGATCGATCGCCCCCGGCCAGATAATGGGTGTAGAGCTCCTCGACCTCGACGACCATGCGCTGGAGGGCGCGCTGGTCGGTGAACGGGGCATAGATAACGTTGCGCTCCAGCCATTCGGCGCCGCGCGTCGATCTCAGATGCTTGTCGTACTTCTTACAGATCTTACGGAAGCCGGTCTCGTTCAGGGACTGGAAATTCTGCAGCAGCACCAAGGTCAAATAGAACTCGCTGTAGGCATTGCGCAGCTGTCGCTGGGTCATCAGCTTCCGGTTGCTGCTGCTGCTATTCGCGCGCACGCTCACCGCCGACTGCCGCTGCGAATTCAGGGAGTAGGAGCTGGCGGTGTGGCCAGGCGCTCGCGCCGTGGCCAACAGCTGCAGCTTGAGTGTGCCATGCTTGCGGCGTGCCTCCGCCAGCTTCTCCAGAAAGAAATTGTTTACTCGGGTCAGCTCGTGGTGGCACTCCGTAAAGAACTGCTCCTCGAAGGCGGCATAGTAGGCATTGAGCTCCGCTTGGCTTACCGCATCCCCCGTTGGGGCACCGTCCACGCCACGCCGGATGAGCGTCTTCAGGTCCTTGGAATGGATTGTTAGTTGTTGGATTGCCTGCTGCCAGGCAGTCTAGTCTAACTAAAAAAAACTGTGTTCGTTGTTGCTGTTGTGCTCGCAACTGGCTCACCGTATATCGCATGTACTGCTGCCGCCATTCGATGGTCAGGTGCGTCTCAAAGGTCTTGCCAAATTTCATCGTTGGCACAAGCCCCACAAGCAGCGCATGCGTCTCGCTGCTCTGTGGCTGAGGCTAGCTGAGTTTCAGTCTCGTCAGTTTCAACAAATTCTGACATCTTTCTCACATGCGTGTCGAGTCTGGAAATTGAACAACCTGACTCAACAACAAACACAGCCAATCAAATGCCTAACCAGACGAGGCAGTCAGGAGGCTCAGGAGAAGATCGTTTAAGGACCTCATCCAACTACGAC